CGACCTCTAATTTCTCCAATGTAATGAGAGTCAATTTCGATAACCTATACAAGTCGTTCGCACAGCTATCTGCGATAAGATCTAGAGCAAGAACAATGTTCCCAAGAAAAGTATCCTTTTTAAAAAACTTATATTGTAATAGTCGATGGTAAGCTATATTTTACCACTACGGTCATGTATTCAATAATGATAAAATTTCGCTCTGAGTACCGCCTGATATGTCATTAAGGAGTAAAACAAGAGTGCCTGGTCACCCTTTTATTAGCAATTGTGCTGGATGCCTCCAAAGAAAAAGCATAGCATGGTATCTCTCACGACAACTCGAAAACTGATATCTATCTGTCTTCTTCCATACAAGATATCCAACATGCAGTCAAAATTAGAAGACTCGACAGACTGTTGAACTTAAAATTAATAAATATCAGGAAAACTAAGTACATAACCATCAGAAAACATCATACTACAAGGTCAAGCAATTGAATGCAACGATAGATTCTGCTATCTAAAACAACCGTGGTATTGAATTGCAATTAACAACTAAAAAATAGAGTGTAACATCCGGACGAATGCAAGGTGTATGGAGAAACTTACATATATCTATGAAGGAAGGAAAACCACCACGCAAATGGTACAGGTATTTATAAACAAAAGTCTTAGGATCATATGCAGAATATTCTGACCCAATACCGTAAGTAACGTAGAGCTTTAAAATTATACGAACACATCATGGAAAAACAGATTATCGTAGGACATGGAGATTGGCCAGACTTTAAATATCCATGGCATAACCAGAATAACGCTTAAATAGAATCCCAAAGGATCAATAAGTGGCTTAAATTTTTCAATGACAATGAAAACTGGCTTGTATCTAACACCATATTGATAAACATGTCTCAGGATCATATGCAGAATATTCTGACCTAATACCATAAGTAATTTAGAGCTTTGGAACCTAACGAACCAGGAACACACACAAAAATAAATTAAACGTAGGAAATGAATATGAATTAGTCACCTGCCAATAATTGGTCACGAACAATAACCCAAGAAATAAGAAAAAATAACCTTACATGCAAACAGCAACTAACAGTAAGATGGCAATGCTTTGAGGAAGACCTATGCTCCCAAAAGGAGTAAAAGGAAAGAACATCAGTCTAAACATTTAGCTTAAGACTGAGTATATCATTGTCCAAAATTTCTTTAGATCACAAATTGTCTTTAGGCTCTCATCAGGCCCTCACAACATAAATCCCATCTTCTAATATTATACACGATATTATATCCGATAGTCCGTTCACATGATTTTATAAAAATAATTTTCAGCAAAATATTGACCAACGTTTGGATGAAATTTGGATATTCCGTTCATTTCATAAGAGATTTACAAAGTTTCAAAACATTGACTATATGTGGGGGAGGTACTAGAATTAGTGGACCGATAAGTCCCGTCTTCCAACAATATGCAGGTGTGATTAAAATATTAGGTTGTGCAAAGTTTGGTTTGAATAGGATGCTTTGCATTATATTATAAAATCGATTTTCAGTAAAATTTTCACCATTTTGTGGGGGAGGTACCAGAAGGAGTGGACCGTTTTTTCCCATCTTCAAACTTTATTTGAGTTGTATAGAAATCTTACGAAGTCCACGTTATGGATCAAATCAGACATTCCATTAGCCAAGTATTGGATTTATATACATGAACATTTTGACCCTACCAGAAGTTGAGGACCAATGGGTTCCATCTTCAGACTTGATCTAGGCCTGGTAAAGATAATAGGTTTTGCAAAGTTTGGTTTATATCGGAAAGTGCTTTCACGTGATATTATAAAATAAATAATAATACATTTTCGGCACAATTTTGACCATTTTATAAGGAAGGTACTAGAAGGAGTGGACCGATATTCCTCATATTCAAACTTGAACTAAGTTTGGAAGAAATGTTACAATGTCCAATGTTTGGTCTTCTCCCTCTGAGAGTTATAGTACTCACCAGCAGGCCACACAGACATACAGACGGACATTTTTAATTTGACACAAAATTGTCTGAAACGAATTTGACCCAAAGAAACATGTCTAAAACCAATATTTCGATTGGGCACATTTTTGTCTATTCTAAATTTAGTTTCATATTCGGTATGCCGCAGCACAGCGCACTTTGCAAAATTTAATCTCAATTGGGCACCCGTTAATTATTAGATGCACAATTAACATGAAGTTGGTTTATCATTTACCTAAAATCGGACGAAAATATATAGGTGAGCTATATCTAAATTTGAACTTGCGGAGTTTGGTGCCTTATTGACTTAATATCGGACGAAAATACATATGGGGACCTATATATAAATCTTAACCGATTACAACAATACTTGACACGTTAGGTTATACTAACTTCTGTAAATTGTATACAATTTTGTGCCAAACGACCTATTTTCGGCTCTTTAAAGGAACCATTTACTTAAAATCGGACGAAAATATATACAGGAGCTATATCTAACGCCAGTACGTTTTGCAAAATGTGGTGCCATTCGGCCATTTTTTGGTTTTTTGGCAAAATCGGACGAAAATATATACTGGAGCTATATCTAAATCTGAGCTGACTTCAACAAAACTTGACACACGTTAGGTTAGATTAACTTCAGTACGTTTTGCAAACTTTTATGTCAATTGTTCTAACATTGAGTCTTTGTTGCACCATTTACATAGAATCAGACGAAAAAATGACCCGATTTTCTCCAATTTCAATGGGGTTCATTCTTGACCCTAAAAAGTGAGATGCGCCAAATTTCATCTCACAGACATGCATAAATCGGACAGACATGCATAAATCGGCTCAAAAAGTGATTCTATGAATATTCTCAAAAGGAACTATGAGTCTATCTCGTCTCCTTTTGCTTGTTACAAACTTATGAACAAAGACATAACACCCTGTACCACTGTGCGATGAAGCGTAAACAGGATTTTGCAGTATTTTTCAACACAAAAATATGCAAAAAAATTTGGAGATTTTTCCCCTCTAAGATATGTGCAGGTACTTGAACACATTTGTTCCTACACTCAAGCCTTTTTCTATGTCCAGGGTTATTGTACCTACACTTAAGGCCTTTTCTAGGTCCAGAGTTATTGGAGTAGATAGCCTATAATCACGGCTTGAGATTTTCTCCTCAGGGGTATGTACAACGGGTATATTTTCTAGATTTTCTATCACTAATGTCTTTGGATGCAAAAAATATTTTGCCAATTAAAATACCATGTTTAAAGGTTAAAAACTTGAACTATAACTTGTACTGAAAATCGTGATCGGGTGCATTAACTGAAAGAAACATTTATAGGATTAAAAGTGTTGGGAACTTCGTAACGACTTTATGTACTTATCTGGGTACCTCACCCATTCTTGGGTTTATAGGGATCTACATACATTATATGGAGTTTAAGGGCTCATCTAATATGTATTTCAAATTTGTAGCACTAGTAGGTCTCCTCCGTTTATGAAAATAAATGATATATATGAAGGAAGCCCATATGTAAGGACTTTCCAACGTGAACCCCCAAAAGTTACCTTCCTCATCGTAAAAAATTTTACGAACACACACACACACATGCAAAATTGCAGTTTGTCAACAATGCATGAAAGCGTCGTTTTCTATGAATGCAAAAACACAATTTTACTGCTATTCTTTACAAAATTAACAAATTATTATGCAAATTTGGAATATATATTATCCTACCTTTCTTATATGCACGATCTTTACGCAAATTGTATCCAAACATTGTTTTTTTTTTCAAAGCTTCTATTGTAGTTTGCTGATTTTGTAGGTTATTTTTTTCTTGCACTGATTTTTTTTCTTGTTGCTGTCCTATTTGATTTTTATACACTTATCACACAAAAAACAACACTATTTACATGCACACTTCCTTATTTGTCTATTGTTTATAGTTAATATATGTTTTTTATAATATTTATTAAAATATTCTTGATTTTTTTAAACCGGCAAAACTCTGCAAAACTGTTGCTGCCTTTGCTGCATGACCATTCACAATAACCTATGTCATATTTCATTCTGTTTCATAGGAATGTGTGAGAAATGTAACTCACCCACAATTACATGTGTGTGTATGTTATGGCTGGCAACGCCGTTAGAATGCTTATTGTTGTTGTCACAATTTAAACAGGCATTGACATGTTTAAAATGGCATATGCAAAGAAATTATTTAATCCCAATAATAATTATGTATGTACATTTGCAGAATTAATTAAAAATTTAACATAATAGGGTAAATGGGGACAAAAAAATAACCCAAAGACCATTAACATTGATTACAACTTAATACAATTTCCAATTTTATATCAACTGGCAATGCTTTGTGTTAAATGACCGGGACAAAGTGGGAAAAGAAACAAAAACATAAAACAAAACTATGACGTCATAAACACTTGTTGATGAGCTGTGTTCAGTAAGCATAACAAAAAAACAATTCCATTCCCATTGATACCAGGCGCAGGCGTTAACAAAGAGATGCCAATCGATTGTATTTATTTTGAATTCAAAAATATAAATTTAGTTTATTTAGTTTGAATTTCAAAATTAAAGAATAAATTTATTTAAATTAGAAATAAATTTTATTCTTATAATAAAAAATATATTTTATTCTTATAACATTTCCACTCCTTTGCAATTCATGTGGCAACACTAAACCAAGTACTTTGTTTTGTTTTGATGTTTAAGCCAGACATCGGGTTTCAATTCCACACTGTCTCAAGCCAACCACCATTTGAGGGCGTAGTTCGTCAAGTGTCATTCTCTTTCATCCATTCATTAATTAGTCAATACGGGCGACAATAGGCATAGTAGTGTGGTGGCGTGTATTTTTGTTATTCTTTGAAATAAAAATAAATTTTTTATTTGGATTTTTGTTTAGTTTTAATTATTTGTTTTTTAATGGTGTGTCGTGTTCATAATTTATAAGAATATCTCGAAAAGTGTTTATCATTGTTCACTGTTGAACAATGTTTCTGCAAAGTGCTTTGGGCAAGAGCTTGTTGCTCTTCGTCTTGGTGTTGGCTGTAGGTGTGTTCGCCCAATTCGAGTGGCAAGCCCGAGATGCCTTCGATGAAATCAAAATCAAATATGACAAAGTGAATGCCGATAATTGTCCCATCCAGCATGTAAGCGATTTGTATTTGCCCGAGGATACGGTGTCGCACAAGCCCGACATTAAGGAGATCAACATAAATCCCATATTTCCAAATCGTACGGCGTTGCTGCATTTACACAACATGGCTTTGAGTCGTAGCTTCTATTGGAGTTATATCTTGCAATCCAGATTTATACGCCCAGCCATAAACGACACCTATGATCCGGGCATGATGTATTACTTCCTCTCCACGGTGGCTGATGTATCCGCCAATCCCTACATTAACGCTTCGGCCATTTACTTTGCCCCCAATAGTTCATATACCTCATCGTATCGTGGCTTCTTTAATAAGACTTTCCCACGCTTTGGACCGCGTACCTTCCGTTTAGATGATTTCAATGATCCCATACATTTGCAAAAGATTTCCACCTGGAATACATTTGATGTTCGTGATTTGGGTGCCCATCCACCAGATGCGAAATCGCATGATTACACCTCGGATTTGTATAAGATTAATGAATGGTATAAAAAATGGTTACCCGATGATGTAGAGGGCAGGCATGATACCAAGACAACATATCAGGTGGAAATACGTTATGCCAACAATACCAATGAAACGTTTACATTCCATGGACCGCCAGGTGCTGATGAAGACCCCGGTCCAGTTAAATGGACAAGGCCATATTTTGATTGTGGTCGTTCCAATAAATGGCTGGTCTCGGCGGTGGTGCCAATTGCCGATATCTATCCTAGGCACACACAATTTAGACACATTGAATATCCCAAGTAAGTGATTCACACACATACATACACACACTTAATACTTAATTTATTTATTTTTTTTTCTTCACTCTTTTCAGATACACTGCCGTTGCTGTTCTCGAAATGGATTTCGAAAGATTAGACATAAATCAATGTCCCCGCGGTGAGGGTAACAAAGGACCAAATCATTTTGCCGACACGGCCCGATGTAAAAAAGAAACCACAGAATGTGAGCCGCTGCATGGCTGGGGTTTCAGGCGTGGCGGCTATCAATGTCGATGTAAACCGGGCTATCGATTACCGAATGTTGTAAGGCGACCGTATTTGGGTGAAATATTGGAAAGAGCCTCAGCTGAACAGTACTACAATGATTATGATTGTTTGAAAATTGGATGTAAGAGAGAGAAAGAAACCACAAAAAATGCTTTGTGTTGAACACACAATATATTAATCCTTTTTTTTCTATTTCCTTTTTTGTTTTACACAGGGGTACAAAAAGTTCCCATACAATGGGAGAGGGCACCGTATCATGTCCGTGAAAAATATCTAGATAAACATCCGGAATATCGTAACTATACAACTGGTGCTGCTGCCCTACATTCGGAAAATTTAAATATCGATCAGGCATTGCGTTTCATCCATGGTGTTAATTACAAGACGTGCAAGAAGTAAGTTATTTATATTTGTCCAATTATAAATTATGCTAGAAATTAATTTTTATTATTATCTTGAAATCAGTTCATATACCAATATATATTACCCAATAATATTTGAGGTCATGTGAAATACAATACCAAATGTTGAATCAGCAAAATAATTTTAGTCAAAAGAGTTTACAAAGCAAAGAGAGAAACTCTGTAAATGTTGATTTTAATTTTTTTTATTGTCGTATTGAAGCCAAATATTTCAACACTTCAAATCATTAAAATGGTATAGGTAATGTTGATATTGATTATAAACCCGAATTCTCTCTGACTTCGCCTCCAAAAAAGGAAGGAAATGAAGTTAACTTCTCCGCTTTTTATTTTTCTTATTTAACATCTGTACTGATTTTTGTTATTTTACAGTTTCCATCCCCAGGATTTGATTTTGCGTGGAGATGTCAGTTATGGTGCTAAGGAACAATTCGAAAATGAAGCTAAAATGGCCGTACGCTTGGCCAATTTCATTAGTGCTTTCTTGCAGGTATGTGTAATTTTATTTTTTACATAAATAATAAGTGGTTATTATAAATTCGAATGCTAGCATGTTATTATGGAAGATACAGATCCAGTCGTAGAATGGTAGGGAATTAATTTTATACCCTGAGCTTTTGATTAATGAGGAGTCGATTTATAAATGTCCGTTTGTCTGGCGGGCTGGTGCGCACCATAACACTCGAAGGGAATAACCGATTTCATCCAATTTTTGTTCATCGTAATATTTCAAATTTAAATACCATGGTACCTCCCTCACAAAGAGTCAACATTTTGAAAATTGTAAACTTCATATGAAACTAATGGAATGTCCAAATCATATCTAACTTTGCACATCGTCGTATTTTTACCTAGCCTAGATCGATTACCTAGATCGATTTACCTAGATGAATAACGATTTAATTCAGTCAATTTTTGTACCTCTCCACAGATGGCCAACACTTAGATAAAAGGTTAGGTTAGGTTGAAAATAGGGGTGGATGATACCACCACATGTCCACATGAGATGGTATTCACATCTATCTGTGAGAAACTGTTTTGGAAGATATTGCCTTTATAGCTTGTTTGCTGTCCGTAATAATATTTATTGTATTTTGTCCTCGGTTTGAACTTAACCAGTTAAGACACTCTTTTATAGCTTCAACCTCCGCCTGTAAGATCGTGCTGTGATCCGAAAGACGAAGAGAAATTTCTATAAAAAGTAGCAACAGTTACCAGGCGGCATCTGACCTAGTGTTCCACTATTCCATTGTTCTCCATCTGGTATTATAGTTTCGCATCGTGTTACTACTCTCGTTAAAGGTATGCGGTCTGAATCAAAGGTATTGATTGTTGACTCAGTAGTTGCCTGTAAAATGTTTTTGTGCGGTATGTTGTGTCCGGTGTCTATCCACTCGTCCATTGCTTTAAGTCTTAAAGCTGCAACCGCCGCTTCATATTTTATTTGGATGTCTATTGGATGTATATAATATTGTCTCCAAGGACCTAGTTGGTGTTGTAAGCATTTCTCCACATATACCTAGGCAACACGTTCTTTGAACTTTCTGCAACGCTTTTACGTTACATTTTTTATCCATTGCTGTCCACCAGACAACAGACGCGTATGTTAAAATTGATCTATTAACTCTCTTATAGATCCAGTGTATCATCTTTGGGTTGAAGCCCCCTTTGGAGCCTACGGCTCTTCTACGGAAAGACCAGCATCTATGGGCCTTGTCAACTCTGTATGTGGTCTTTCCATTTAATTTTTTTGTCTAGAATTACTCCCAGATACTTAACTTAGTTTCATATGGCTTTCGTTTTGTTTTGGAAGATGGGCTCTTCATACTGACCTATTTTGGTCTTTCTAGTGAAAAGGCATATCTCCGTTTTGTCCGGATTTACGTTTAAGCCCCTCAGTTCTGACCAATCGTAGGCGATTTTTAGCACCGTTTCGGCTTTCCTGCATAGCAAGTTAGGATTCTTTCCCCTAGGGAGTATTATAAAGTCGTCTCCATAACAGACTGGTTCAAATCCTTCATCGGTACTTTAGAACGACTTTCAACTGAATTGGGTGTAAGCAGTATTTTGGATTCTCATTAGGTACAAAATCATCCTTCCAAAAATTATCATAATTGGTTTAGTTTAGGTCCTTAGTGCTACCCAAAATGATCAATATTGACTCAATTTTCGGAGAGTTACCTATATAGAGATAACCTCGATTATTCGATGTTTTAGAGTATCACTTCTTCAACCGAATGGCTCTAATTAACAAAAATGTACCATAGCATAGCCCACACATAAAAGTTCCGATCGATTTTAGAGCATGGTGAAGACCATATGTCTGGCCCGGTCGAAATTAACTTTTTCACTTGTTTTTTATAATAAAATTGCATTTCGCAATTGAGTTTTATTTAGATTCTAATTTTACTAACATAAATTCAAAATTTAACGAAGTCGTCTACATTCATTGTTTCTTCAATATTTTTCTCCCAAAAACATTGATGCTAAAAAATCCCATTTCATTTGATTAAGTAAAAGCAAGAATATTAATGATTTTATCACCTTTACGAAAAATACCCTTCAATCCAAATAGGAGAACCTCTTCAGAAGTGTTAATGAAAATTATCTACGCCTCATAAAGGAAAGACAACGGCACTGCTGCTCGCTCTATAATTCATTTTTTTCTGTTGTTCTTGTTGCTGTTGTTTCCTCCTAAACTAATCTCATGTTCTACAACTTGTTTCTATGGCAAAGACAAAGTTCATAGGAATATGGACAGGCAGACAGACAAAAAATACTACAAAAATTCAGTGTCAAATGATTACTGCTTTTACGGCAACAGCAAAAAAAGTAATAAAAAAGAATACTAGAAAAACTAGTTGCTAAATTTTATTTGCACAAGTTGTTAAATAAAATTGTTTGTTCGCCTAGGCAAATATGCTACAGGAAATAGCATTGAATTTTTGTCACAAGGACAACAACAATTAAACGACACTAAAAACCTAAATTTACATATTAAGATCCTTTAAGAACAAACAGCACCTAGCTAGCTATCTTCCTAGCTGAGGCAGCAAGAAAAACATGTTGCTTTCCACATGTTTCAACAAGTTTTTGCGTTTAAAAATATCTATTTTTATACACACATATAAATCCTTTTTAATTTTTATATTTTTTTCTCTCTTCTCTCCCCAAAAAAAGGTCTCCGATCCCAATGAAGTATACACTGGTAAACGTGTAGCCGATAAACCACTTACCGAAGATCAAATGATCGGCGAAACATTGGCCATTGTTTTGGGCGACACAAAAGTCTGGTCGGCTGCCACACTTTGGGAACGCAATAAATTCACCAATCGTACATATTTTGCACCCTATGCCTACAAGACCGAGCTGAATACCCGCAAATTCAAAGTAGAAGATTTGGCACGTCTCAACAAGTCACATGAAATCTACACCGAAAAGAAGAATTTCAAGTTCTTGAAACAGCGTTGGTCTACAAACTTTGATGACCTAGAAACATTTTATATCAAGATGAAAATACGCCAGAACGAGACAGGTGAATATCTGCAAAAGTATGAACACTACCCCACTTCGTATCGTGCAGCCAGTTTGAAGCATGGATACTGGTCTCAACCACAATTCGATTGTGATGGTTATGTTAAGAAATGGCTTGTGACCTATTCGGCACCCTTTTTCGGTTGGGATAGCATCAAAGTGAAACTGGAATTCAAGTGAGTACTATTTGTTTGTTTGTTATGTTAATGAAATGTGTGTTTTGTTTTGAACACTGAAATGGGCGCATGGCCAATGTCAGTTGCAAATAAAAAGGGGGTATTTGAAGAAGAATGTGTAAAATTAGACTTTTCTTATTGTGTTCTCTGGCTGTTGATGAAGTCATCCCTAATTAACATGTTTGCCTATTTGTCTATTTAATGCGGGACCCTCTTCATGGAAGTTTTTTTTTTTGTCTCCTGTTTTGGAATACGGGAAAAAGAGAGTATTTGTTTTTATGGGGATGTTTAAGTCCCAGGCCTTTTGACAATTTGTTTTCTCGCCTTGTCTTCAATTACCACCTATTACAAGACCCATAAACGTATAATCGCATTTTATGTCACAACTGGTTGTTTATCCCTTATTGTGGGAATTTTATCATATTTTTATTATCATTATTGTTGTTGTCCTTTTTTTGATATTATTTAAGTGTTGACATTTAATAATAACTTCTGACTTTTTATTTTAAGGAAAATGGGGGATTAGAAGGCAATGGAAGGGGTTGTTGAGAAGAAAAGTTTTAGAGTATAATATTACTATTTTAAAGCATTTCATTTTTGTATTCTTGTGAAGTGATCGACATATTATACACCATTAATTTACTTAGATGCTACGAATTCGCAAAATAGAGAATTATACTAAGTTTACGATGAATAGAATTTTGTCTATATTTGTTATTGTACTACAACTTTAAATTTAAAATGTTTGGGATACCCCTATTCCCAATGCCCATTTAAGCAATTTTATTGTTGTAAACCACCACCCCTATTTTTTATAGAACATACATCTAAATTTTGGTAGGAACTAGGACGATATTGAATGTCAAAATCTGTAAAAAAAATCTTAACAATATTTCGGTACAATTTCAAAATATAGAAAAGTAATTATGAGTATGTTATTATGAGGATACAATTTTAGCTATCTCTTATACGATCCAACACACCAAGTCATACATTAAGGTCAAGAGTCCCTTCTTCATGCACTGGTAATGATTTCCGGAGCATATCTTCACGGCTATGACACATTTGATTGATGATTGACAAGTTTCTAAATCAATCCTGCCTACCTGAATGGGCGGCAATAATCTCTTTGGAACCCTGGAGCAGGGCAACGTTAGCATATATTTATGCTGGCGTAAAGCAAGTATATTTGATATGGCTATATTTTGACAATTCTGAATACTGGCATATACGTCATCTACAATATGTGCCGGAAGATTTAATAGGAATATTTCTTTGGATTATGGATGTTTCTAAGATCGTTGTGGTAGATGTTCATCCTTATATTCATTTTACTTGTACAAAGTCTATGAATTCTTGAAGGCACTGTACTGCGTTTAAAGGTACTTTACTGCGTTTCCACCTCTATGAGTCTCATTACATAACATTACATAAGGTAGAGAGTGCCGGTAAAACAGAAATTGGCTCATGATATACTAATGTCTAGGATACGATATGGTCTGGAGGTTATTTCTGGGACTTTATCTTCGAATTGGCAGAGGTTGAATCGGTGGTCCGTTATTTTTTAATCTGAAGAGTGTCTGAGTGTGTCTCTTTTGCAAATGAGTTCCAAAGTCATGTATCTTAGTTGTTTTTTGAGATCTTAGGGCTTCGGTATTGGTGGTTTTCGATGGATTCTTGATGAAGAGATTTATGCCCCTATCCATCACATAGAATATGCATTAAGAATAAGTTTAGGTCATATAAATCATTTTTTTTTTCTAAGATTTGAGAAAACTACAGTTTACTCGTATTTATTCCAAGGTGATGGATCTAACTATATATTCCTCGTATGCTCCACGACTAATCTAATCTGATGACCCTTTGGAGTTGTTTTCTTGAATTTGAGATTGGTGAGGTTGCAACGATGGAGCTCATTCCGCATATTTAATATATTCCTCACATACTTCACGACATGATTTTCAAACTAATTTCCCGTTCATCCGGCTAATTCTACTGGGAAAGTTAGTCTCACATAGGTTATTCGATTATCAGAAACTAATTTTTTCATCTGCTCTTCTATATATAGAAGATCCATTCGTCACCTAAGTATTTTATATGAAGATCCATTTCTTCAGAGAGGATCATCAACTCATCTAAGCAAGAAGATTTTTAAACTTCTTAGAAAACCTCCATTGAGAGAAAGAGCACATTCAGCTTTACAATAGGAAGATCTTGAAATTTTCTGTAGGAGAAATGCCATTAGTTATATAGGAAGATATTCTATAAGAATACTTTTAAATCTACTATAAGGATAAAACATTCAAGTCGGCTTTAGGAGGGAAACATACAGATTTTCTATAGTAAGGAAAACTTCGTCTCCTATAGGATAAAACTCCAGGTCATCTATAAGCGAGTTTAACAGTAATGATATCTTGAAATATATTTTGTTGCTACCCAATCATCAGAAAGTGTGCAAAGTTCAACGAACCCTCTGAAATCTAAACGATTGACTTTCGTTTGGTTAGGGAAAAAGTTTGGGAAATATAGAGGAATACACCTGGAGGTGAGTATTTTATCAAGGGAAAATTATTGATTTTGAATCAGGCAAAATAATGTAACTCTCTCTTTAATTGTGGGATCATTCTCGTTTATGTGTATTCCATAAACGAGAATGATACATCTACTTGTTCCACCAATGTTTAGAGCAATCAAGAAATTATTATGAAGGACTATCAAGGCAGCATCAATCCAGACCTTCTGACATCTGTACGATCATTCATGTCTGGGTGATCAACTTTGATGTTGGCATTGGAAATGTTTCAGTTTTAATAAAATAAATTATATCGCTAAGATAAATCTGCCCAAAGTTCTTGGTTTAGAGACCCAATAAGGTGTTAATTTAAAATCGCTATAATCATTGGATCCATGGTCCCAGCGAAATGAACAAATTTAATATCCACTAAGCCTTATATTCGTTCCGACCGATTTTTGTTCCCCCATTTATTTTTTATTTATTTGTTGCAATAAAGACTCCAACCTTACTTCGACCTTTGCCAAAAAGTAGATTGATTTAACTTGACTTGCATGCAAACTATATAGGTGTCTCTTCAAAAATTTTTTTAACATTTTCTCCTTAATGGAACATTGGTGTATTTCATATTTTTTATATAACTTTTTCTCTCCTTTAATTTTCAGAGGAGTGGTACAAGTCTCCATGGATATGTTGCAATTGGATATACAACAATGTCCCGATTGGTATTATGAACCGAATGCCTTTAAAAATACACACAAATGTGATGAACAGACATCCTATGTAAGTAGTTAATATTTTCACATTAACAAAATAAATTCAATAACATCATCCTCTTCTCTCTCTCCTTCCAGTGTGTACCGATTATGGGTCGTGGCTATGACACCGGTGGCTATAAATGTGAATGTAAACAAGGCTATGAATATCCATTTGAAGATTTAATCACCTACTATGATGGCCAATTGGTTGAGGCAGAATTCCAAAATATTGTTGCTGATACCGAGTCTCGTTACGATATGTTCAAGTGTCGTTTAGCTGGTGCATCGGCAATACAGGCAGCCACATCATTAATTGTGGCGTTGCTTGGTTTTACTCTCATTATGCTGTACAAGTATAGATGAGTTAGATGAATGAAAGGTAAAACGTCAGCGAAGAGGAAAACAAAATTGTAGTTTTGTAGTATTTTTAAAAAGAAAAGAAAAAAAGACGTCCATAGGTAATAAGTACGAAATTATACATATATTTAACGAATCCGTCCAAAAAAACATATATCTGTGTGTATTTTCCAAAACAAAAAAGGAGCAACTATCTCAAATAACATTGGAGAATAAAGAAGAAACGCAAATGCAAAATAACTTCACAAAAAATACGAAACAACGAGATCAGTTGGTTATTGAGCAAACAAATTCAAATAGAACTTGTCACTCTCTCACATAGACTTCCTTCCTGTCTAACTATCCATCTGTATGTCTGCATAACTCTTTTAAATACTTTATAAAAACGAATGACCACAAGTAGATCAAATGAATGTTTTGAGTCAAACTTCTTCCTTTATTCTTCGAAAATCTTCTTCAGTTTTATTTTCTGCACAGAAAATGAAGAAGAAAAAAAGTGAACATTGTCATCATTTATCCAAAGCGATTAAGTTGTAGACACAATCTATTACAATGAATCTCATTATTTGTCATGGACATAGGTTTCTATATTTGTGTGTGTGCCCATGTGTGTTTGCAGTAACAACAAAAAACAAAGAAGTGGTCATCCAAGGCATCAAATAACTTATGATCAAAATTATATACACTCTATTGCTGACTGGCTTCTGCTGCTGATAAACTCTCACGTTGAGACAATAACGAATGAGAAAATACAACGCCTCTCTTCATAGCTCATATTTCAGTTCAGTAGTGTCGCATAAAAAAAGACAATTTTTTGATTAATAACAATCAGCCAAAGAACCAAGAAAAGCACAAAACGGAAATTCATTCTTTCGGAGAGTCTGGGAGGTAAACACCCAACTCTCGAAATTGGTGGTGATATTGTTGTTGATGATGCTAACTGGCTTGGTGGCTTGGTTAAAGCGACAAAATCTGTTTTTAATATCCATGAAGTTTTGCTTTTCAGTTGAATGAATGAACAGCTGTGTAGCTGGCTGGCTACTCGTGAAACTACAACCACAAAGAAGGAGAATGCAAAAACAACAATTTGAAAACCTGTTACAATCAAAAATGCCAAACAGTATTTGAAATTGCCGAGCAATCACCATCTTCTTCCTCTCAACACAGACACATACGATTTTTGTTTGGATAGAGCACAGCGAGCGGTGACAGCCTTGAAGCCGCCTTGAGTGAGAGTAGAGAAGAGGGATGATAGGGAGGGATGGTACCTTCTTCGAAGATTTGCTGAGCTGCACCCCTTACCTTTTCCATAATGGTCACATTTCTTTTTTTTTATATAATTATCCTCATCGCCACTACCACCCATTTAGTTCTTGACCATTACCATTAGAGAAAAAAAAAAACAATTTCATATCATTTTATGTGTGTCTGTTTTGTTGTTTTTGTGCATTAATTTTGAACTTCCTCGATTAGAATGAGGGAACAATAAGAATGGATGGGGGTTCTTTTTTTTGTCCGTCTTTGATTATGAACTGTTGAGGTACACTATTTTTTTAATATATAGGTCTCCTGATTGTTGTTGTACCATCAACATCATCTGATGATGATCATTTTTTTGTTGTGTGTGCTGTGCCTTATCATAGCCTGAGAACTTTTTTCCACATTCATTCTGCCTCTTGGAGATCCTTTTGCATAAAACCAGTTTACCACTTGGTCTTGGTCATTTGCAAAATTCCAAAAAAAAACGTCTATGCAGAATTTTTTTATTATGATTTTATAGCGAACTTCCTTTGGCAGCAAAAAAGGTATCAAATAAAAAAAAAATAATTTGGTGCCAGTTGAGTCTATCTATAAAACAGAAAAAACGCCGATTGCCAACTGCTGTCTCTCTGGATGTTTGTTTCCAAATATTTTCACACATTTTTCATCGTTAGTCTAAAAAGAGACAAGACACTGTCAGACGACAACACTCTGCCAGCCAGCCTGCCATTGAAGACGGCACCACTAGGGTCCAACCACTCTATCATCCATAGAGTGACCAATATGTAAAAACAATGAAGCCTCTATTGTTTCAAAGATTTCCCAAACAATAGAAATCTTTAAGAATTTAATAATGAATAACCAAAAAATGGACTAAAAGTAGAAACAGAACTCCTGCTGTTTTATTTTTCTATGTGGGATTTTTTTTCTCTTTGGATTGTCCCTTAAAAGTTTTTTTGTTTGCAAATTTGAATTGTATAGCCAGCCGTTTCCTTGACAAACTGATCTTGTAATGAATTTTGTTTTTCGTTTTTTTGTCTTCTTCTCCAATATGTTAATTTTTAAATGCCGTCCATTATTTTGTATTTAGAAATTGTTTCTTTTTTTTAATATTAAAAGTAGAGTTAAGTTTTATAACCAAATGTGTGCCTTCTATTTAACAAACATCAATACTTCTATATGTATGTCCTGATATGGGAAATGTGGTCTGTACCTTAATTGCAACAAAAACAAAATAGCTCCCATATTGCATTTAGAATTTTGTTATGTTAACCAATGAATTTTATTTTTTTGTTCCGTGTCTTTATGTTTTGTAGATGAATTTTGAATTTAGACATAATACAGACATATATATAAAATTAATATAAATCACAAATTTTTATATACAAAACATATTTTTTACATATGTAATAAGAACAACATATCGCAATAAAAAATATTTTTAAATAAAAATAAAAAAAAATAGTTTCTTTAATATATTAAATTAATATCGAAGGGTTTATAAAAATATTTCTAGAAGAACTATCCAAGCCATTGGCGTGGATTTTTCAAAGAACATTTTTTAAGGTCTATCCAAGCCATAGGTGTGGATTTTTTAAATATATTTTTTCAAGGACTATCAAAGCCATAGATAGGCGTGAATTTTTTAAAGGACTATCCATGGCATAGGCGTGGATTTTTTAAAGAATATTTTTTCAAGAACTACCATAAGCGTGGATTTTTAAATATATTTTTTCAAGAACTATCATAGGCGTGGATTTTTTAATATATTTATTCAAGAACTACCATAGGCGTGTTTTTTTTAAATATATTTTTTCAAGAACTATCATAGGCGTGGATTTTTTAATATATTTTTTCAAGAACTATCATAGGCGTGGATTTTTTAAAGAATATTTTTTCAAGAACTACCATAAGCGTGGATTTTTAAATATATTTTTTCAAGAACTATCATAGGCGTGGATTTTTTAATATATTTATTCAAGAACTACCATAGGCGTGTTTTTTTTAAATATATTTTTTCAAGATGGATGGATTTTTAGCTATATTTTTTCAAGGCCCACAAGGCGGGTATTTTTAAATATATTTTTCAAGACACACAAGGCGTGGATTTTCAAATATATTTTTTGAACAGACTTCTGAGCTCTAGGCGTGGATTTTTTAATATATTTATTCAAGAACTACCATAGGCGTGTTTTTTTTAAATATATTTTTTCAAGAACTATCATAGGCGTGGATTTTTTAATATATTTTTTCAAGAACTATCATAGGCGTGGATTTTTTAATATATTTATTCAAGAACTACCATAGGCGTGTTTTTTCTTAAATATATTTTTTCAATGACTATCATAGGCGTGGATTTTTTGAAGAATACTTTTCAAGGACTATCTTAACCATAGGCGTGGACTTTTTAAATATTTGGATTTTTAAAGAATATTTTTTAAGGGATATCGTTGGCCATAGGCGTGGATTTTTTAGAGAATATTTTTAAAGGACTATCGTTGGCGTGGATTTTTTAAAGACTATTTTTAAAGGACTATCCATATATATAGGCGTGGATTTTTTTAAGAATATTTTTAAAGGACTATCATCATATTCATAGGCGTGGATTTTTTTAAGAATATTTTTAAGGACTATCATCATAGTCATAGGCGTGGATTTTTTTAAGAATATTTTTAAAGGACTATCATCATAGTCATAGGTGTGGGGTTTTTAAATATATTTTTCCAATGGCTATCATAGCCATAGGCGTGGGTTTTTTAAATATATTGTTTGAAGGATATTTATTGAAGAATTTTCATATCAATAGGCGTGGATCTTTAAAGACATTTTTTGATCGACATTTATTGAAGAATGAATGACATTTATTGAAGAATTAGGCAATAGGCTTGAATATTTCAGAAAATAATAAAAAAATTGTTCACTTACCATATTTCTTTATCAATTTGCTCATCATTTTGTTTCTTGAATGTTTAAAGGACTTCTGTTCCCCCGACACAAAATTTCCCCCAAAAAAGTAGTTGTATTGCTCCAAACTTGACTAAGATAAAAGTTCAAGATAATTGTCCCCAAAATAATAATACTTTTCTTATTTAAACTTTTTGTTTTAGAAATAATAATATTCAATGAAGATGTTTTGCAAAATTTAGATAAGATTTTTTTTAATTGATTTGCAAATGGTTTAGAATTTTTATGAATATTGCTTTTGTTGTTGAATTTTCTCAAAATAGGTTTTGTCGATATTGAATTTTATTTTTCATATTATTTAAGTGACACAAATTGTGGTGACAGTTTTCTCAATGTACAGTAGGTGACAAGGTTTATTATTTATTCACAGTAAATTTTATATTAGGGTAGATTAAATATGAAAATAATAAAAATAAAATTTATAAAGAAAAACATTTTTTTTATTGCAATTTTTCAATAACCACCCAAAAAGTTGAGTTCAGAATAGTGTTACACAAAGGTAAATGGAAAATTCATCGAATATTTCATATGTCCTCATATCCTAAAAAAACCTCCAAAATTTCTCAACTTACTTTCTATAGTTAATTGTATTATTGTATTATAGTGCGTTTACATTATACCGGATTTAGCTAACCAAGTGGGTTTCAATTGCCAATTTTTGTCCTCATAAAGTAGGTTAACACTGCAAAAAGTTCTAATGTAAATGCCGTTTTATATTTAAATAAAAATTACTAATTCCATTTTTTTAATTTTGAATTTTATTTATAATGAGATTGACTATA